AACACACACACACACACACACACACACACACACACATAAACATATTGAAATAATAAATACATAAAAAAGAAAGACCTTTGAAATCAGTTTTGTATAAACATTTTTTTTAGGTTTACCATCACTGAAGCTCAGGTGGCTGACACATGAGCATAAAAAGTGTTCCGACGTGATAGAATGAGGCGCTCGTCAATTTTGAGTATGTGGCAATAGTGGGATCATCTTGAAGATATTATTTCAGTTGTCTTGCTATCGGTGGAAAAAAATGCTCATCCATCATGAATAGAATTTAAGATATTTGAGACTGAAGAATGCGGCGTCGCCTGATTTCAGAAGGTAAAATTAGCGAGAAAATAGCCGCAAAAGTTTGGTGATTTCCTTAGATTTTGAGTCCTTGGAAACTGCAAATAGTTTATATTTTTTGTTCCTTTTCCAGAAAATCAAAACGTAAAATTGCTTTTTAATAAAAGGTATTGAGCCAAAAGCAAACAATTGAAGGAAAAAAAGTCAAAACTTGCCTAAAAAACAGAAATTAGAAGAAAAAGTCATACTGGAGAAAAAATGCCTACCTATATCTTCGACTTCATTATTTTGACGGGCGCCTGATTTCACCACGATGCTTCACATATATATCGATTCCATTGGCCACACGTGTTAAACGATGTTTCCACGTTTACAGACATAAAAACATGTCGTCCAGAATCTGTAGCTCACCTAGTTCCCTATTGAGGCCGCAGGTGCGCGACTCCGGATCAAACAACGTGTTGATACACCGGAGAATGGCCATTGTCCGACCCAGGTCACAACGTACGAAGTCTGGGGTGAAAAGTCGGCCCGGATACGGCTGGAGCCCGTCTGGAAGCTCTCTGCAGCTGGGATATCGCTGGGAAAAGGAAAGAAATGACTGTTAGGGTTTATTGTCCTTTATTATATTTTTAACCACAATTTAAGACTTCCGAACTAACGTTCATGACCGCTAGGACGCGTGCAAAAACATAACAAAACCAAACCAAACAAAAAAACAAAACAAAACGAAATGAAACGAAACGAAACAAAATAACACCCCATTACTACAAGAATCTTAAAGGGACCCCCCCCCCCCCCCGCCGCAATGAAAATATATTTGAGCCTCCAATCGAAACATACTTTACCTCCTACACACATCAGGGGTTTCCCCCTGTCCTCCCATTTGTGGTTGTTGAACATGACTTCAGGTGCCAAAGATACGTTATACTCATGGCTATAGTTGTTTAGTAATTAATGGGAACGGTATGGGTGATGTAGTCTTTAACAGAAAAAACAAATTATCCTGATTGTATAAAATGACAATTATCTCGGGGTTTGTTTGTTTTTCGCGAGGAGCTAAAATATGAAAACTAAAAAAATAAGTCTTTTTACATTTTTAAGGAAATTGCCATTTGCTCTTCTCGTGTCAGTCTGCGAAAGATAAAGAGAGAGAGAGAGAGAGAGAGAGAGAGAGAGAGAGAGAGAAAGAGAGAGGTACATAGAGAGAGAGAGAGTGGTGGGGAGGTAGAGAGACATACATACATACATACTCACACACACACACACACACACACACACACACATACACACTTACATACATACATACATACATACATACATACATACATACATACATACATACATACATACATACATACATACATACAGAAAGACATACAGAAAGACATACATACATACTTACATACATACAGAAAGACATTCAAAGAGACAAAGAGACAGAGGGATTGAGAGAATGAGAGATAGAGACAGAAATAGACAGAGAGAAACAGAACGATGCTATTATATTATTATTAGAGAGAGAGAGAGTAGAGACAGCAGACAGCAAGAAAATCGAGCAATGCGAATTCATAATTGTCCGTAACGAACATCGAAAACAACAACAACAACAACAACAACAACAACAACAACAACAACAAACTTCTTTTTTTACATAATGTGGCACAATGTGGTGAAATTAAGCGTTCATCAAAATACTGAAATCGAAGAAACCGGCATTTTTATGCCAGTTGGAAAAATCTTCTCGACCTCTTGTATCTTTTTTATTTATTAAACACCGTTTATGCCCGTTTAAAAACACATTTCTATGTGGATTTCACTGAAAAACGCTCAGTAAAGGCACACAAATAGCAGATTTCCAGTTTCTATAAAGCCTATCACGCTTTAAAAGTCATTGAACTATTGTGGCCATTTTCTCGATAAGTTTACCTCTGAAGCCAGGCGACCCCCATCTCCTTCATTGACACGTGTCTCAACATCTATTTAAGGTAGATTGGTATTTTTCCCCATCCAAAGCAAGGCAAATAAGCGAGCATTATGCTGACACCAATAACTCCACATGCCGCAAAATGGAAAAGCGCCTAGTTCCAACGCGTTCTGACAGATATAGAGACTAAAATAATATTATTGTATTTTTCTTAGTCTAGCAAAAACATTAAATAGACGTAAATATGTCGAAACGGAGAGATGACCCCCACCTGTTGGCACAACTCACAGACCACGTCGGCTTTGTCTGGGCAGGTTACCGCAGCGTCGATGTTACACGCGTTGTTACCGTCTGGACATCTGGACAACGCATCATACTCACCTGGTGCCATAGAAACGTTAACATACATCATTTAACCATTTAACGTTTTATTAGGTTGCTTTTAAACACAAGGGGGTTATCCCGATAAATGCTGTTTTGGAAAAATCGAAGGTAAAGTTTGGGCCCCTTGCTCAGTTTTTTTTTCTTTTTTAAAGACAAAGGAGAGTTTTCTCTATAACCAAACAAATATACACACCAATAAAACCAAACTTCCTCTATAGGTTGGGCAATGCCCACTTTTGGTGTAGGTAAAGATTTCCGGACATTTGGGTTAGAACGCTTGTCCTTAAAAGCGACCATTTGTCAAAGTCAAAGAGTGCGTTCACGTTACTTTATTATGTATTTGCAAGCGCCATAAAACTCTCAGTAAGCCTAACTAAGTCAAAGACATGAAGAATGAATCTTGGTCCACAGGTCATACAAATCAAAGCCCCTCCGACCATTGGGCAATATTTAGACACTGTGTCACTCAGAAAAGAAAAATAGTTTACGCATAATAAATATAGTCAAACACTTACCTCATAGATCCTCTAACGATGAAATAAAATATACTTTTAGTTTTAAACATTTTTAATACCAAATCTTTAAAGACTAAGATAAACTTGTTAGAACGTAAAAGATATTTATGTCTACAATATTATAATAACATAATATTTTATTTAATTTTAGATAAGTCTACAATGGTTCTGTTCACAGTATATCCTTTAGTCTATATTGCTTGAATTGGTTGTTTTTTCTCCTAAAAAAGAAGCAACAAAAACGAAAAAACAACAACAAAACCACAAAAATATTAATAAATAGCCCTTCAAATTTTTAGTGGGCATTGTATTGGCTTAACTTTGGCTTTTAACTTTTTCTGTCAACATAATATACGGAAAGGTGTAAAAGAGAGATGTAATTGGCGGGCGTTTGCTATGTGTATTGCATTTGGGAAGGTCATATTACATAATCCAGGTACTTTGTATTAAACAGTGTTATATTGCGCCTTTGGGGGGGTTCTTTGACTACATCAAAGCTCCATATTATTTTTCTTGGCTTTTTTTTTTTTACTTGAAGCCAGCGAATGGCATTGTGTAGGTTTTAAGGCTGACTGTTTTGACCAGTTGTCATGAATGTCCAAACCCCAACAATAATAGTGGTGTAGGTAGCCTAGTGGTTAGGCTACCAAACTCGTAATCGTGATGTTACGGGTTGGGGGGTTTCAGCCTCAGCTCGGTCTGGCGTTGTCTCCTTGGGAAAGACACTTTAGACGAATTTCCCATTTTACTCGGTCATTTCTGAGATGGATTTAAAGTTGGAGGTCCCGTCTTTTAAACAACTTAATTGTGTTGATAAAGGTGTTAACCAAATACCATTTTATCTTTTCACCATCATAATATTTGAAGCTAGTTATAATCTTTTACTTTTTGTGCATGCTTGATAGTACAAAAACAAGAAAGTAATATGCTTTAGTCGGGTTCTGGCATTTTATAAGATTCTAGGCACGGCTAAACTCAATCGAATCGAAATGTGTCTTATAAAGCTGGGAGTATCTTTATTACTTTGTCCTCCTACAATTTTGAATAGCTTGAGCGGTCGGAGTTACATTCTTTTGTGTATGTGATTATCTTTTAGTTTTTGTTCATGCCTAATTGTCAAAACCAACAAATTATTATGTATTAACACAGTTTCTGGTATTTCATAGGTATCTGGGCGCGGCTTAACTCAATTGAAACTAACTGTGTTCTAAAAAGGAGAAAGTATCTTTATGATTTTGAATAGCTACAATATTGAGTAACTTGAGCGGTCGGTCGTAACACTTTTTGTATTGGTTTTAATGTTTTAGCTTTTGTGAATGCCTGTTAAAAAAAACAACAACATTATTATGTTAAGTGCAGATGCTGCCATTTTATAGGTTTCTGTGCACGACTAAGCTGTATCAAAACAAAGTGTGTTGTAAAAAGCAAGAAGTATCTTTATTACTTTGTCTTCCATCAAAATTGAGTATTTTGGGCTGACGGTCGATACACTTTTTGTATTAGTTATAATCTTTTAGTTTTTGTGCATACCCAATTGTACGTAAACAAGAAAGTAATATGTTTTCACCCAGTTCTGGCATTTTTTAGGTCTTTCGGCGCGGCTAAACTTATTCGAATCAAAAGGGGTTTATAAAGCTGAAAGTATCTTTATTACTTTGTCTTCCTACAATTTTGGGTAACTTGGGTGTCTGGTCGTTACAATTTTTGAATTGGTGATAATCTTTTACTTTTTCTTCATGCCTACTTGTAAAAACCAACACATTATTATGGATTTACATACATTTTAGTATTTCATAGGTATCTGTCCGCGGATAAACTGTACCGAAGCCAACTGAGCTATGAAAAGTAGGAAGTATCCCTATGACTTTGAATTCCTACAATTTTGATTAACTTGAGCGGTCGGTAGTTACACTTTTTATTTTCGAAATAATGTTTAGCATTTTGTGCCTGCCTAATTGTATGTCGTTCTGTATATTTTACCCTTTAGTTGACCCCAGAATTTTATCTGATATCATTAACTTTTTTTGGGTCTCATCTTGTGTTGTTTAACATGTATATCCCATTCGTTTCATTTTTTTCAGCATTTCATTTTATTTTCCAGCTCTGGGTAGAGGGTCCAGTTTAAGTACTGTTTGTAGAGAGTTGGTGTGAAGATTGATCTCCCCCCGGGGCAGTGGCACTGACTGTGGTGTCTTTAGGCCGTTTCCAAAGGGGGGACATTTCTCGTTCAAGCACAGTAGAATTGTAAATGGGCTGATTCATGTCACGCTCATAACTGTGCCTGAACAGGGAACTGCTGCTTTTTCTTTCCTATTACTTACTATTGTCATTTTCCTCTACAATTCTTTTGTATGTTTGTCACTCTCTTGTGACCTGCTATTTCCCGGGTGCCTTGATAGTTGAAGCAGACTTTGTGCTGTTGAAGCTAGAGAGGTGAGCAGAGTAAGTCTGATTCCCTTTAAGGACTTCTCTGTCGACATCCACCCCTTGGCGCTCATATGACCTTATGCAGTTGTGAGGCGCCGTAAAACACTCTACTATAATAATAAAATAGAAGATTTATCCGAAGAGTTGTTTCTTTGTCTCCAGTTGGGATGTTTTCAGGAGACAGGAGGGATGCTAGTTGCCGTGTGATTGCATTTGCCTTTTGTATTTGTTTTAAAAAAACAATTCTCTGACCATTTCTCATCCGATGTGAACACACTTCCAAAGTATTTGATTCTTTGACCGTATTTCTGTTGTGTAAAGTAGATGTTCCTGCATCCGATCCTGACACTGGAAATTGCCTTGTTAGTGAGACAACATCCTGGACCTTGGGCATTATTGTGGTG